ATGGGTCAATAGACCCACGTTTGTCACTTGCAAGTTGGAAGTGGGGTTCAGGTTGTGGGTCCGTTGGCAGCCGGCCCGTGCATCCGACGACTGGTCACACAAATGAGCGTACAGCATCGGATGCATGATGCCGCAACATCAAAAAGAAACGAAAGTGTCATGGTTTTTCCAGCGTACCCCGTCCGTAAGCGGATCCCACACAATCATAAATGGCACTGATCTTTCCGCCCTCATCAAGGTGATCCTTGACCTTCTTCTCTTGAACGAATTGCTACCATCAAGTTCATTCATTGCGAGTCCCTTGGTCCAGCGGCGGTACATCATCCTTGGATACGGTGCCCCTTCCGTACACCACAATATTGGGTCCCTTCCAATCAGTTCGGTTGTATCATTCATACCGAGCCAGTTAGGCCTATCTCCCAGCAGGATTGCCTTCCCACATCAAGAGTCAGCATTGCCACTTCACCTTCCTGCGCGATACCGCCTCTGGCAATCCCCTGCTGACGCGTAAGGTATATACAGAGTCTGGACCCTTGCTGTCCATACGCGTGCATTTGTCTGTCCCACTTCTCAGCTTCTCATTTGACTGAGTTTGCATGATTGTCCCCTGCATGCGTCATAACATATCATATCAAACAGACTTCGCATTGGGTAAACGCTTGACTCGGCCCAACCGAACTTTCCGTATCGCTGCCAATCGTCCTTCCTTCCTTTCACCTCCTCTCATATGAACAACAACTCATTACTAACAAAGACCTCTCAAAACAACAACCTCAAAATAATTACTCGACCTCTCCATTCGACAACACCTCACCACAATCAGTCACAACTTTCTAAGTTTCCCATAATACATCATGGCAACGATTACGATCACTCCTCTCAACACCCCGTTCCTTTCGACGTCACACACCTCCGTGGATGATTTCCTCGATGCCCCACCGACGCCGGCATCAATATGCGATTTCTATCCGAACGTCCCGTTACCACTCCACTTTGGCGACGACCCTTTTGCGACATCAATTGGCTTCGCCAACGGCCAACCACTCCTTCACCCGCTCGACATACACTACCCCTCGTGTTCCCACGCACACCTCCACGGCGGGGGAGATCTCAAATTGGAAGATTTGTTCCCGCTCATCGAAGACAACCCGGTGACCAGCCAGACAGCAGTTGACTGCTCTGCTCTAACAGCGATCAACATCGGAAACGGGCCGGCAGGGGTTACATGGGATCATGGATTGCCTTCACCAGCGAGATCAATACATGATGGGTTAGAATCAATGGATTTTGGAGAACTTAGATTGGGTTGCGATAGCGGGTTTGATGGCATCTCTGCAGAGAATGGAAGGATGACGTCGGGAAGTGAGGACGGCTCTGGGTTGGCAGATGTTCTTTGTCCAAGTGAGAACTTTGCGGCGGCTCCGGAAACGATACCAGTGTTCGATGGCGATCTGAGCTCCTTTACGGGAGGGATGACGCATGGAGATACGGTTTCGGCGTTGTTCGGACACGAGATGGTTCCATCATCGCCCATCGTAACGCATCAGGTGTCGTCGAGCCCCATCGCGCCGCCTACTGTGCTCGTCAAACTGGAAGACCACGTCAAACCATACTCCCCGCCAGTGTCTCCGATCCTTCCCCTCGACACCCCACCGCTGTGGCCGCTGAGCACAACCTTCCCCAAATCCGAAAGAGGCATGATGCGTCATTCCGGCCTTCCAAGTCCGTCGGAATCAATGTCCTCTTCATCGTCCTATTTCGACGATCCGCTCTGCAACACCGGCAACACCCACCGAAGAACCTTGTCCAACGCCTCGACGACTTCCACCACATCTCTTCCTCCCATCATCCCAACGCCAACGCCTGTACGCATAAATCTCCGCACAAAATCCGCCCATGTAGCCCGTGCACCTCGCAAAGCCAAATCCGTCGCAACGGCGAAAACCCCAAAACCACCGGTGAAGGCGCCAACGCAGCAACGAACCTCCTACCCGGCTATCTACAAGTGCGAGTTCCCCGGCTGTGCGAAGGTGTTTACGCGGAGTTACAACCTGAAGAGTCACAGGAAGATCCATACAGGGGACGAGTTGTTCTTGTGCCCGTATTGTCCGTCAAGGTTTACCCGAGGGCATGATTTGAAGCGGCATGTTAGTATTTTGCTTTCATCTTTTTTGCTTTTGCATTCTACCATCATATGTATGCTTTCTTGGAATGCTGAGTGGCTGGAGTGCTTTTTTTGGTGTCGATGGGCAACTGCCATAGACTTGTAGATGGACTATTGGACTATATGCCGTGACATTTGCTTGGCAAGCTGCATAGACATTTGCGTCGCCATTTCCATTTCTTGAATTTGTTTTCATAACAAATCGTCTTCCCTTCCCCTATTTCCACCCTTAATTCCTTTTCCCCATACCACAGGTTCGCCTCCACACCAACGAACGCCCCTTCCGCTGCCCAAACTGCGATCGGTCCTTCTCCCGCAGCGACGCTCTTAAACGTCACGTCAAAGTCGACGCATGCCACGGCCGTGAAGCGGAACCGGAGCCGGAGGCGGAGCACGGCGAAGAGGATGAGCAACAGCAGCAGGATGTGACGGAGGATATGACGGAGGACGAGAGGGAGACGGAAGCGGATGTGGAAGCGGTCAAGGAGCAAGAGGATGAGGAGGGCGTGTGGAGTGGGGACAGCGAATGAGGGGAGCAAGTTGGAGGCGGTAACTAAATAATGGAAAGTAACGAGGGACTTTTCCTTAGTGTAAGGAGCGTAGTATTGGTGGGGCGTCGTTTGTTTGGGTGAGGCACAGCTAGTGGTCAACGCGGGAAGGGAGATCATGATGAGACCACACCATTTTTCTGCAAGTTGGGGGAGTTGATTCTTCCCTATTCGATAGTTATGTATATATAGTTCTTTGTTACTTTCCAAATTACTGCTGGGACAGGGGTGGGTGCATGATGGAGGCGATAACAACTAGCATGATTCTGGGGCAGATGGGAGGGTAAGGTTCACTGGGTGTTCGGAGTAGGGCTTTTTTTTCGATAGATTTTACTAGTTTTTCCGTTTTCCATCTTTTCATAGTTTAGGATGCTTTCAGAATAGCTTAGTCTTTTGCACAACGATAATAGCATACATGATTTTCTTTACACGGTGGGGTCTCTCGCACATTAAATTCGCAATGCAGTTCGCAATGCGTTGCTTCGCATTGTCATTTGTGGACCTGTGGCCCATGGGTCCTTCTCATGTATGGGCACACACTGCGACTACTGACAATGGCACCAGAGGTGAACTTCTGGTGATAGCAATTGCTTGGTAGAGCTTCAGATGACCTTCATTGTGGTTGGCCAGACTTCTACTTTGTGCAAGACAATGATTCATTGAAAGACCTTCAGACATGGAGTTCCTTCCTAACAGTGGGCGACGTCAACCCTTGAGGTGCTTGCACGGCAAAAAGGGGAAAAAAACCGCCCGCGGGGGGGGGGGGGTTGTTCCCATATAATGGGGTGCTTTGTGGGGAGGGGGTGTTCGGTTTTCTTCTTTATTTCCCGAGCTCACTGGGGATCGAACCATAGATCTCCTGAAGACCTTTCACTATGGTATCTCCCATGAGGAGACGCGCGACCACCCATCTATGTGAGCTCGGTGAAAGGTATTTGCGATGATCATTCTGAAGACCCTGAAATGCTTGTGGCACAGTCATCAATCCTCCTATGCCCGTGCCACCCATCACTTGGCCGTAGCGCGCAACACAGCCAGCGTGGACTCGTCGCTCAACAGTTCACAATATCTTTGCAACTTTTCATTGCACGGCGGTCTTTGCCAACCGACACTTGTCTGTTCGACCACAACAAATTTCCTCCAACCTGGTTGATATCTGTTTGCTTAACAGTCTACTTGCCGCTCACTCCAAGGCCTGCTCGTTGGCTTCGTTGAGTTAGAGAAAGGTAGGAAGACCAGAGGATAGAGCGCCAAAGCAAAAGGTATGAACCAGATTCATTTCAAGTAATCTATTCTTTACATGGGACCTCATATACCATATATGAAAACCAGGCCACCTGGTCCGCTGGACACCAAATCTGGCTCGAATCGCCACAAGGCGTTGGCTTCAATATGCGAAAAATCGTGGCCATCGCCCATTTGCGGTTTCCAGTACGCAATTGATACACTAGCAAGAGTCAGAGGGGAATGGAAGAGGTCACCACTCACCTCCACGTCGATATGCGCCAACGGCGGATTCTTTTTATCATTAAGAATCTATGGATGCCGATGCATGAATGTTTGGAACGGATAAAAAGGGCCTTCAAGGGCGTGCTTTCATGCTGCACTCCTCCACAGACTGCCACACGTCGCCTCTGGCGGCGTGATCCCTTGCTTTCCTACCGCTGTTGAGTGCATGGTGTATCTTTTGATTAGGGTCATAGAGAAGCAGATCCCGTCATCAAAGCGGCGATTGTGTTGCCATATGTTATGAGGTCGGCTCCCGTTTTATATTTGCTAAATATGACGAATGGCATGTTTGGAACCATTTGAACCAATTCACCGTTCATTCAATGCTCGCAGAGATGAGAAACACCAGGAATCCTACACTTCTGATGTCCTCTCGCGTCAATTTTCGATAATCGGATCCAAAATCCACGTGCAAGGTGTGCCATCGCCTTCATGCGTTCCAACGCACAGAATGGGGTCCACGATGCCCCACACTTTGGTTCAAAAGGACTTCGACATATGTCGGATCACCACATTTTGAAAGCTCCTGCCATTTTGATCTCGGTCCCCCAACCAACTCTCACCACATCGAAACAACTACCAGAAAGGGTGGGATGAGGATGATATGGGAGACGCGACGCGCGCGACGCGATCGACACTTCCCAAACAGGCTATCTCATTCCTACCACACAAAATTATAACACTTGACCAGCCGCAAAAATTTAAACAGCTCGCCCTCCATTTTTTTTTCATTAAACACATATACATATAATATTCTAATAGCTTAAATGCTGCAACTTGGCTGAATAGTCTAGTGGTATGATTCCTGCTTTGGGTGCAGGAGGTCCCGGGTTCAAACCCCGGTTCAGCCCTTTTTGCGGCGCCCCTGGCAGCATCTTGCCGAATTGCATCTTGCGGTGTTGCAATTTTAGCTTTTTGCTCAGACATCGCCATGCCGTTTCTACATGCCTGCTGTTTTGGGTATTGTATATAACAGTTGAATGATTTGGAATGTATTTGGCCTGTCGTTGTTTGGAATTTTGAGAATTCTTCCATGCATTCGGGAGACTGTGGGTGGTGGGCGTGACCGAGGTTTCTACCCGCAACCTGATGCAGAAGGTTCAAAAATTATACCCGTAGAGGATTGGGCCTCATTGCACACTCAGTTCCGGGTTCAAACCCCGGTTCAGCCCACCATTTTTTTGCACCAGCTGAATAGTCTTTTGCACTGGCTGAATAGTCTTTTGCACGGGCTGAATAGTCCGTCATATACCGTTCAATACCTGATTGAATAGTGGTCTGCCTGGTTCAAGGTTCACACTTGGGCTCCCTTTCCGGCTTGTTTTCTCACTGCTATTCTTGTTGTTTTTTTGCCTTTTTTGTTTGTGTTTTCTTGGTTTCTTCCTTTCTTCTGTTTTTTTTCCTAGTTATTTTCAATATTTTAAGAGACAAAACTGATACGGATGAACAGTGTTAGCATCCACTTTAGTGGCTGAATAGTCTAGTGGTATGATTCTGCCTTCTACGGGTAGAGGTTCTGGCGTCAAACCCCGGTTCAGCCCGCTTTCATTTTGTTTTTGCCGGATATTTCCCCGCATGATTTTGACATTTGACTTTGGTCATTTGACCTATCTTTCTATTTCTTTTGCATGGATTTTCCCTTTTTTTCGCCGCTCTTTGGAGTTTGGTGTGAGTGCCCTGCAAGGATTGCAAGTGGGCAGCTACTTGTCCATGATTTTTAAACGTGTAAATGGCCCGTAAAGGTTGACGCTGAACGTGTATGTCGAATCAATATCTGATTCAGGTAAACAATAATGACAAGTGCACAATGAGTCTAGTGACTGAATAGGTTGCGGTCGAACATTGAAGAAGAGGAAGAAGCGGAACAAAAAACAAAGGCCAAATAGTCTAGTGCTACCATTCTTGATTTCTACACAGAGGCCCCAGTTCCGAACCCCGGTTCGGCCATATCACAAGCGCAGAATAGAAAGAAAAAAGAAATGCCAGAAACGGCTGAATAGTCTAGTGGTATGATTCTCGTTCCAGACGCAGAGGTCCCGGGTCCAAACCCCGGTTCAGCCATATCGTAAGTTTCGAAAAGAAAGGACAGAAAACAGAGACACGGCTGAATAGCCTAGTGATATGATTCTTGTTCCAAGCTCTTAAGTTTAAACCCCGGTTCAGCCCTATTGCGCCTGGCTGAATAGTCTTTCAACTTACTTTTGACCCAGCCCTATTGTTGTCAGTGCTTCGCAATCACCTTTGCTCGGCTCAATATCGACATGTGAAGGGCAGTGTACGCGAAGGCACGGGCGTAAGGGTTTGAAATCGCGTATGTGGGTGTCAGAACGCCATTGACGATGGTGGATGATGCGCAAACGGCAAGCCCTCTCCACGCCTTAACAACGGTACCCGACATCAGCACACCATGTCATCAGAGCAACGCTTATCCAAATCCATAAACAACATAAAGCCTCCTGATTCAATATCACACTTTACGTTCACTGTTGATTGCAAATTTACATGAATGAAGCAAGAGCGCAAGAACATCAACCCTCAATATCTCAAACCCAATCAAATCCCAATCAAATCCCAAATATCGACACTCCCCTCAATCATCCTCCTCAAACATCTCCTCATCCTCCTCCTCACCATGCCGTTGCCCCCGATCAACTCCCCTACCTCCCTCCTCCCCATCCTCCCCATCCATAGGACTCGTATACCGCGACCCTCCCACAGACTCCTCATCCACCACCGACCCGTTCTCCCACTGATCCACCTGCATATCCGATTGCCCGTCCCCGACGTTTTCCGAAGGCAGATCCAACTTGTCGGTCGGGCTTCCGGTGCTGGAGGTGCCCCCTCCTCCTCCCGCAGCGTCATTCTTCTGTGTGTGTGAATTGGGAGTCATGTTGCCGGGTGTCGGGGTTCCGCCGCCGCCGAGATGTCGGTTGACGCGTTTCGTGCCGCGGCCTTTGATCACTTCGTACTGTTGCCGAAGGGTATTAGTATGAGATCCCACTTAGCTTCTTCGAAAGTCGAAGCAAATAGAAACGACGATCTAAGACATACATTCTGCCACACGTAGTTCCCACACTTCTCTGCATTCGGCAACGCCTGAATGATCGCCGCGATGGTGGGGTGCGAGAATCCAAAGTAGTCGGGTCCGGAGGCGCTATTGCTGTGGTCACGCTTGCGGATTGCATTTGCGGCTGCAAAAACAATGAGTATCATGAAGAGTATCATGAAGTTCCAACAAAATAGACTACAATGGCACACCTTTGATGATGTTGGTCCACGCTCCAGTTGCAGTGTTTGCGACGATGCCATTCTCTGGGCTGTCCTCCGGTACTACATGGAAGCGCGGTCCTTCCCCACCGTCCGTCACACTGCACATGTAATTGGTCGTTGCCTCTGGATTCACCATGCTTTGGTAGGGTCTGTGCGAGAGACGTTGGTTGAGCATCTGAGTATACAACATATTTCGACAAAGCCATCTACGTATCTCACCTTGATGCACGATACCCGACCGGATAAATGTAGCGCTCGTTATGGAACGTCTTCCGATCATACACAATCTCGCCCAAAGCATGTACTGTGATGATGCCAATTTGCACAGGCAGAATCGGCTTCCCATCCGCATCCATCGGTACTTGTTGAATCTTTCGTGTCTTTGTGACGACCGGTGCGCGCTTGGTTACTGGTTTCTTGCCAGTGCTTCGTTTGCTGCCTTGGCTTTTCACTTCCATTGCCGATTGCGGCGTTGACAATCCTGACCCGTGGTAACGTTCATCGTATTGTGTCCAGCGCGCTGGGTGATCTCCTTGTTGCCTGCTGCCGTACTTTGCTGAATGACCGTCGTCTGATGCATTTTGATGCCATTGGTGAGTTAACGATAGATGAACAACCAATGCATAATTCAGTAATACCTGACGAAACTGAAGATGCATCAGAATCGGAACCACTACTGGAAAGCGAATCCGTATCTTCATCCGACGAGTCTGGCATTTCGTATTTCGTCAAGCGGTCCAAAAGGAGACTACATGATACAAATGAGGAGATCGATGAGTCCAGTCCAATCAATGTAAGTCACCAAACCATCCACCAACATACTCCTTCTCACGTCTAAGAGAGCCCAACTTCACTTTTGATTTCTTCAGGCGAGTGTTCAGTCTGTCATTGTCCTATAAAATCATGGCATTATTAGTTGCCCTATTGGTATGTCGCACTTTGCGCTAACCTCCAATACTTCTTTCAGCTGGGTATGGGAACGACAAACACAGGTTAGGTTTTGGCCAATAGAACAGCGAATGTCGAAATCAGTATCCACCTTCCGCTTCAACAGTTTGTACTTTTCTTCAGTCGGAGCCATGGTAAGTGTTGCGTGCTGCGATACCGGTAGTCAGACAGAAGGTAATGGCTGTGCCTTGTAATATCCCCACGCTATGAACTGTGGGGAAGTGGATGACGACAGGTTGAGGAAGGTGAAACCACAAAGCGAGCACGCAAAGGAAACGGAGACAAGAGGCTAATTCAAGAGGGCACAAATATATTATGATAAAAGGGTATGGCACAAGAGCGTTACTATTACGGAAATGTAAGTGATTACAGGGTCATGGAGTTGTTTCAGGGATCACGTTCCTTTTCTTCTTCCCGGTCATGTTCCGACTTCCTTTCCACCACCTGGACCCACGCCCCCTTCAGTGAGCATGGGAGGCTCCTTGCCACTCGCCATTTCTCCAACGCCGCCGTTACTCGGTACCGTGACGTGGACCGAACAAACTCCCCCCCGTTTTCCCCGGCCAAAGGCTAGAGTCAGTGGGCACCAAAGGTGGGGTTCTTCGAGACGGAGGTCGAAAGATTTTTCACTGGTCAATGACACCAAATGACATTCATTCTTGATCCCAATTCAACCCCAATTTAGCTTTCCTATCAGTGACATCGGGATATTGAGCTATCCCGGGTCTGGTGATGGGAAGCTCACGTTCAGGTGTTCACCCACGCGTCCCTGCTTTCCCACAACCAAATTGTCATCTTGTTCCCACGGTAAATTCTATTGATATATTGAGATTTGAAAGGCTGACTTACGTACTCGGAAAAGACGCTACCTACACATATAGTCTATTGAGCCGCACAGGATGCTTCCCCTCCGGCGGGCCCGTCGCGTCAATCCGGCACGTCGTAGTAGGTTCCTCAGCTTTACAGATCACGTCAAGCGAGCCTATGCATCTGAGGCGCAAAGAGACTGGAAAGTCCCACTGCACCCGGGCTGGGAGGAATTGGTCAAAAAGGAACTTAAAGGCAAAGATCCGAAGCAAACCTTGACGTGGCACACCGCTGAGGTGAGGCCGTTGCAGGTTGTCCATAGAAAGAAAACCCATATTCAAATGACGAGGTTTTCTGTAAACTAGGGAATACCCGTCAAACCTCTTTATACAAAGGCCGATGTTGCGGACTTGCCGGACGAAGTTCCTGGAAAGTATCCGTACACCCGTGGCCCATACGCGTCAATGGTTGGTTTTGTGGACATACCCATACCATATCATAGCATACTTACGTTTTGAGTATGGGCTAGTACACGTTCCGTCCTTGGACCATTCGGCAGGTAGTACAAGTCTTGAGCTGACAAGACATAAGCCATGGCCAACCCGTTCGCAGTATGCAGGCTTCAGCACCGTAGAAGAGAGTAATGCATTCTATCGTCGAAATCTGGCCGCGGGACAGCAAGGCCTGTCGGTTGCATTTGACTTGGCGACGCATCGAGGGTAAACAACTTTCCTTACAATAATGAGCTATCTTCATTCATGACATGACGCGGTTGCTGCTAGCTACGACAGCGATCACCCGCGCGTATCTGGAGATGTAGGCATGGCAGGTGTCGCAATCGACTCCATAGAGGACATGAAAGTAGGTGGCGGAATCGTGCACATACAATGGGTACATCTTCACAAATATATTGACTGCTGTCGACAGCGGCTGTTTGATGGCATTCCTCTGAACAAAATGTCCGTCTCCATGACTATGAATGGAGCGGTCTTGCCCATTCTGGCCATGTACATCGTGGCTGCGGAGGAGCAGGTAACAATCCTCATCCCTTGTGCAAAGTAGCGGCATGCTCAAAATCCTTGCGACATAGGGTGCAAAGCAGGAGGAGCTTGCGGGGACGATCCAGAATGACATCTTGAAGGAATTCATGGTCCGCAATACCTTCATATATCCTCCGGAACCATCCATGAAGATCATTGGCGACATTTTCGAATATACCGCAAAGGTGGAGTACATACGACACCGTTATATCTGGGGCAACTCTTCATTCATTGGCTGCAGAACATGCCGAAGTACAATTCCATTTCCATTTCGGGCTACCATATTCAAGAAGCGGGCGCAGACAATGCGCTTGAACTTGCATTCACCATAGCGGATGGGCTAGAGTAAGGCAAATCTCTATCGGAAAGTCAGGCATTGTCTTAACGACTTCCCTCGTGGCGGGTACCAGATATGTCAGGACAGGTAAGGATGCCTTTACTTTCTTGACTGTGACGACGGTTGACACAATTTTCGGACCAGGTATCAAGGCCGGCATGACAATAGATCAATTCGCCCCTCGATTGTCATTCTTTTTCGGAATTGGAATGAACTTCTACATGGTATCTTGTCATTGAAGAAATTTCCAAATCGCATCTGTGCTCAAAATCCCGGATCAGGAAATCGCCAAGTTGCGTGCCGCCCGACGGCTATGGGCAACCCTCATCAAGGAAAAGTTTGAACCAAAGACGGCAAAGTCGCTACTGTTGCGAACGCACTGTCAAACATCAGGTTGGTCTCTGACAGAACAGGTGCGTCTAATCCATGCAATGAATACAACGTGTTTGAATGGCCAGTGACGAATTCCTTGGTTCATCACAAGGACCCCTACAACAATGTCATCCGCACAACTATCGAAGCCATGGCGGCAACATTAGGAGGCACGCAGAGTTTGCATACCAACGCTTTGGACGAAGCAATCGCATTACCATCTGAGTTCAGTGCAAGAATTGCCAGAAACACCCAGCTTATCCTGCAAATGGAAGCGCACATCCCGA